GCTGGAGGTGGGGAGGGAGGGAGGGAGGAGATGAAGGAAGCGTTTGGTAGGGAAAAAGCATCCCTGAAGTGCTGCCTTGTACCACTGCTCCCTCCCACGCCGGGGGCACATTGTGGGCACGCGCCGGTGTGTACACCCACACCTTGACTCGCACTTGCCCCTTGTTTTTCCTCGACCTTTCGACTGCCGAGCAGTTAAAGCAAGCGGCGTTACAGCAAGCGGCACCGCAGAGCACGGCTTTTCAGCAAATACCTTTTCCTAAAGGCGTCAGCTCTAAGCAGCAGCCGCTCCAGGCGGGGTCCCCGTGCGCTGGTGTGCGTCTCTGCCAGCATCTCCCTCCTTGGCTGCCCGTGCATGGACCACCAGCCCCCGGCCACTGTCCTGCCCCCGGGATGAGCCAGGTTTATGCCCGAGGACAGCCGGCCCGCAGGCTCGTGGCATGGGGGGTGTGGGTGAGATGGGGCGGGTGGGTTTGTGTGCGAGGACGGGGAGAAGCTGCTGCTTTGCACCTTCTCTGCCCCGTGCCCGGGTGCAGGGCGCAGGGTTAACGCGGTCTTCTGGTGTCTGCGGTGCCGCGTGTTTCTGTCCCCCGTGGCTCAGCTCTTCTGGCACCGCCAGGTCTGTCCCCTCATGCGGGGCTGTGGGAGAGCACTTGGGAAGGTGCCACCAACCAGTGCCATTGTCCCTCCTGGTCCTACTGGTGGTGGGATGCAGGGCTGGACCACATGCTCACCCTTGGGTGCAGGGCTGACCTGTCGGGGGGGACGGTCCTCATGCCCCGGGGTGGCAGGCGGGCTCAGCGCAGCTGCATCCTCCTTTCCCGGTGCAGCATCGCACTTCTCTGGGACTTTGGGATTTGGTAGCACTGATGCTTTTCTGCCTTTTCTGCTGAGGCAGAGCAGCAGAGACGCTGACACGCTCCTTCCCGCGTTCCCTACCGACTTCCCTAATTTTGCAGCCCCTGCTTCCCACCACCCACGCAGCTCCCAGCTCCGGCAGTAATTGCAGTTCCCCGTTCGCATCGCTAAGACGGCAAAGAGCTCAGAACAGCAAAGCACCGCTCCGCCACGGGGATCCCGCGCCCGGCGTGATCAATAGGAGATTTGTGAGCACACGTGTGAGCGAGAGGCTTTTCCCCTCAGACAAATAATCCACTTTTTCTCCAGCAGTCCATTAAGTGAAGCTCCTGAGATGCAATCAGGTGCCGGGGGCTTTGAGACAGGGGTGCAGCGTGAAGGCAGGCTGCTGCCTGGTGGCAGGGCTGCCTGCTCGGCCCCGCTCGTGTGTCCCCACCTGAAGCTGCTCATCCCGCTGCTCTTTGCCCACCTCAGGGCTGGGAGCATCCCCAGGTTGGTTGCACGGGGCTACGGCCTCCTCCTCGCCACCGGGACCGTATCCTGACCCTGGAGCAGCAGGGGGTCCCCGGGGAAGCGCTCCGCCAGCCCAGCATCTCGTTGCAGTGGGATCCTTGGAAGCGGCCGAGGTGTCCCCACGGGTGAGATGATGGAGCATCCCACCCAGGGATGGCCTGCAGGGGGTAAAACCAGGGGAAAGAGGTTAACCCAGCAGCTCTTTAAAGGAAAATCTGTTTGGGAAAATGCAGCTGGGGCAGGCGGTGCCAGCCTGAGCCTCCCCCCAGCTCCTGGGGCTGACCTGGTTTTGGAGGAACCTGCCTTTTTTTCTGCTCAGCTGCCCTTTTGTCTCCGCACCCGGAGGACGCAGAGCCTCCTGGCCTATATTTTGGCTCTAAGATCAATATTTAAAATCCCCCCTCCCGTTGCCTTTGCGCAGGCGTGAGGTGTCTCGCTTGCTGGGGGAGGCTCGTCTCCCAGAGACCTGTCTGTTCACCATTTCAAATAATTTCCCCGGTATCGTTGTTCTAGAAACAATTCATTAGGGGCCTATTATAGGATGTTATACCTGCCAAGGTTAGAAAAGATCCCGCATATGTGGTAAAATCTGTGAGCTGCACGCGCCGGCTTTTTTTTTTTTTTTGGTGTCTGTCTATAATGGTACCTTTTTCTCCTTTTGCAGAGCCAGTCACCTGGGGGCAAAGCCGGGGGGGTGATCACGCTGCCTGGGGTGGGGAGCCCCAGCAGGGGTTGCTCTGGTGCTTGGTCACGGTCCTGTGCTGGGAAGATGCTGCCGGTGGCGGAAAGGAGTGGTTTTGGGGTGTAGCAGCTGTTCCTCTCTCCTCGCCGCTTTATGCCCCCTCTCCAGTGGCACATTTGGAAAATCTGGGCCAAAACCAGTGGCCAGATCCCCAGGCTGAGAGTGGTCACACGTTGTCAGAGAGATAACAGAGCCGTGGTCCCCAGGGAGCTCGTTAAGCATCACCTCGGAGGGCTGCGTGGCCGGGGCGGCTGGCGGCGGGGGCTGCAAACCCCATCCCCTCTTCCCTCTCCTGCCCACAGGAGATGTCCCTCGCCGTCCTGGGCCATCCGTCCCCGTACCGCTGGGGCGGCTCAGCCCCCCTGCCCGGCCGTGGCCTGCATCGTGGCTTTGCAGTTGTCTTTTTCTCTCTGCAGGGAGAATAACTTCATCAAGGATTTCCCCCAGCTGGCCGACGGCCTCATGGTGATCCCGCTGCCCGTGGAGGAGCAGTGCCGCGGCGTCCTCTCGGAGCCCCTTCCCGACCTCCAGCTTCTCACCGGTACGAGCTGCCCCCGGGCTCAGCCCCCTCGGGGGTGAGCGCAGCTGTATGAACCCCTTCTCCCACCCTAGATCCCAGCGTGGTCCTCGAGGGGCATCAGCATCCCTGGTGTTGGCGGGGGGTCCTTCGTAGCATCCCTCCTGCATCCCCTGGGCAGAAGCAGCCTCTGTGCTGGGGGAGTCCGCCCCGACACGGCACGGTGGCATCTCTATCCCTGCAAGCTCCAGGCAGCCGCAGCCATGGCGATGCTGGTCCTGCCAGCAGCCGGGGGACCCCACGCCGTGACCACCGGAGGAGGTGATCCCTGCTACCACCCCGTTGCTCGCCCCTGCGGTGTGTAGCAAAGCGGTTGCTCGGTGTGAGCAGTAAGTGTTCCCCGGAGCAGAGCCGCCGGGTCGGCAGGGGCTGAGCGCCGGCTCTTCTTTGCAGGGGACATCAAGTACGACGAGGCGATGGGCTACCCCATGGTGCAGCACTGGCGGGTGAGGAGCAACCTCTACAGGGTGAAGCTCAGCTCCATCACCCTCTCTGCAGGTGAGGGCTTCTAACAGCGGGGAGACAGCACGTCTGCATGGGCGGGTGGGTGGTGGTCTTCTGCCCCATGGCACAGTCGTGCAGAGCATCTCAGCAGCGTTTCCCATCTCCAGGCTCTGCTGGGGCAGGAGCTCGTGCTCCCAGCGCTGCTGCAGAGGCAGGCAGAGAGATTTTCCTCCTTTTTACAGGCGGGGGAAACTGAGGCAGGGAGTTTGTGCAGCTCGGTTGCGCAGCTCGGTTGTGCAAACCAAGAGCCGGGGTGAGGGCCAGGATCGAGGTAACAGGGAACACTGCGGGGAGGATTTGTGTGGGGGTGGCTGTGTATGTGCGTATGTACGAGAGACAGTAATTTCTTGAAAAAACATGGTTTCAAAAGGACCCAAAGCACTTGTAAATGCGGGTCATACAAAGCAGGAGTTGCAGATGAAGAAGGGGCGGGGGGAGGATCCTGCAAATGTCAAAACATTTCACTTCCACGTTTTTATAGCTACACGTTTTGTTTCAGAGATGCTGAAACATTTTGTTGCGACCTGAAATGTTTTGCCTTTTCATTTCAAAACAGCATTTTTTATTTAAAAATCAACCTGTTTTTAAAGAGGGAAAGAAAAAAAATAAAAAGATTTAGTGCAGACAGGCTGCACAGCCCCGGAATGAAATAACCTGTTCGGAGCTGGACAAAATATTTGGGTTCAGCTCAATATAAATTATTCTAGCTTTTTTATTAGACCAAACTTCTCCTTCAATAAACCAACCAACCAGCCAGTCAGATAACATCATTTTGGTGACAGTTATGACGTATTTTCTTCCAGTTTATTTTCAGTTCCACTGCTTGAACCAAAACGATGATAGCAGCCAGCTCTAAAGGATGCCAAGGCACCGTGTAGTCACCGATGCCTCCACGATATTTCAGCTCCATAGAGCAGGGAGGGTCCGTGTCCTTGTCCCATGCCAGCAGTCCCTGCTGTCTGCGCAGGCGCTGCAGGGCGCTGCTCAAGAGATCATAGAATCATAGAATGGTTTAGGTTGGAAGGGACCTTAAAGACCATCCAGTCCACCCCCTGCCCTGGGCAGGGCCACCTCCCCCCAGCCCAGGTTGCTCCAAGCCCCGTCCAACCTGGCCTTGAACACCTCCAGGGATGGGGCAGCCACAGCTTCTCAGGGCAACCTGCCCCAGGGGCTCACCACCCTCACAGGGAAACATTTCTTCCCAATATCTAATCTAAATCTCCCCTCTTCCAGTTTGAAGCCATTCCCCCTCGTCCTGTCGATGCCCCGACCCTTGCACACCCACCGAGCTGCCACCAGCCCAGCCCTGTGTATCTCTCTGGTTTGTCTCCAGCTTTCCTAAAAATAGTTATTGACTGTGCGGGATATTTACAGTGGGGATGGTCTGCAGTGCAATCCGTAATAAATTACACCAGGAGAACATCTCTGGTTGCAGTTACTGCAAAGTAATGGCCAAGTGCATCCTCTGGGGGAAAGCGCTGATGGTGTTCCAGCAGCCTGCAAAATGGGATGGAGCTGGTGGGGAGGGTGTGTGTGTGTGGATATGTGTGTCTGTGCACACACAGGTTCACATGTTCCTCCCTACAAACTGGTTTTGGAAACATCTTAGGGAGAAGAATCATAGAAGGATGCCAGAGCCACAGCCCAGGGTAAATAGGTTGTAGGTTCCAAAGGATTGTCTTGGAGGCAAGAGAGGAGGAACTGCGCTTTGCTCCTATGTGGGGACTTGTGTGTCTTGAGCAGAGGATCTCCTGGGGCTCCTTCCCCCGAGGCTGGGGCTGGCAGCCCTGCCTGGCCGACCCGCCGATCCCCTGCCTCCCCCTTTGCAAACATCCTGAAGATCCTGAACAAGGACAGCAGCCGGGAGGAGCTGCTCTCCTTCATCCAGCAGTTTGGCTCCCACTACATCGCAGAGGCTCTGTACGGCTCCGAGTTCAGCTGCACCATCCACTTCCCCAGCAAGAAGGTCCAGCAGCAGCTCTGGCTCCAGTACCAGAAAGGTGAGGAGTGCGGTGGGAACGGGCAGGGCCACAAATGCCGGTTATTGTTTGTGCTGTTTTCCATCCGTCGGCCCCTCTGCCCCGTGTAAACATCGTCACCGTGCCCGGTAGTAGGTGCAGACAGGAGACTTGTACCAAATTGAGTGCCCAGCAGCAGGAGATGGTGACAGCATCCCATAGCCAGGTGAACCCCTCCTGCCTGCTCCTGCCCTCCGGCTGCCACACTCTGGCTCCGTCCTTCCCCAGGGGGACCTTCTTCACCGCCCGCCCCCAGCCCCGCCACGGTGGCCCCTGCACGCCGGGGGTGCTCAGGGTCGGGTGATGGAGATGTGACATAATTGAGCCGTCTCAGAATGGCTTCGTTTTATTGCTTGTGACAATGATGGTCTTTAAGGAAGTGTATTAAATCAATAGCAGACTCATTGTGCTACACCATAAATAACGAGACACATCATTAAACAGGGCAATAAACTTCAGGACTTTGAAGTAATACAATTAGGTTATGTTTATAAAAACTCCCTTATCGCTGTAGCCTTCCATTTGCCAATTCATCTCTCTCCTCCAGGGAGACGGGGATATTCCCCGGGTCTGATGTTTTTCCGTTGAAAAACATCTGTGATGTTTCATAGGGCCAGTCGTAGGGCTGATGGTGACGGAGCTCGTCAAGGCACTTGCATCCTGCCCCGCGGGCGCTGCCGAGAGTGGCCTCCTTCCGTGGAAGCCAGTGGACAGAGCTTTGCTCCCTCCTGCTGCCTCCCTCGCTTTCTGCTGATTTTTTTTCCCTCTGTCTTCCCAGCGCAGCTCATCTTCTACGCGTATTTATACTGCCCTGTACTCCTTTGTTTAGGTTTTAAATAGTGATAAATGAAGTTTGCCATAGCAATGCCCCTGCTTAGCAGGAGAAAGCATCGGGGAAGTGTGTTGTTTGCGTACTCACGATGTTATTAATTGTTTGGGTGTGCTCCCTGCGATCCCCGGGCAAAGGTGGCGGTGGGGAGCAGACCGGAGTGGCTTCATGGCCCCAGCGCCGTCACCGCAGATGTGGGGCTCCTCCGGAGATGCCGGGTGGGAAGGAGAGGCGGGGGCTGCAGTCTGAGCCCGCCATGAGCATCACCACTGTTTCACGGTGCTGGGGCCAGAGGGGAGATGAACGGTGGCAACACTTGGTCCAGTGATGAAATATCTCCTGTTTCTCAGCCCCCACCTTCCCCCCAGCCTGAGGCAGTGGTGGTTCCTAGGGCTCAACCGCGAAGCCCTGTGGTGGCACCGGGCCTGAAGGCGAGCAGTGCCTCGCTGACAAAATAATTTCCTTTTTAGTCCATGGTATGCAGCTGGCCGAGGCGGGCTCCCTCGCTCCCCTGGAGCCGTGCCGGCCCCGTGCCGCTCGCAGGGCTGCCCTGGCGCACGGGGGGCATCCAGAGCATCCTTCCCCACCAAAGCACTCGTGGCACCGCATGGATCCCCAGGGGTTTTGCATGTAATGCCTGGACATAAGCATTTTGTTTCTGCCCGTGCGGCATTTAGCCGCCAGGGCTGGCTCCGACCGTGCTCTTTGTGGGTGGCTCCGTCTGCGGCTTCGGTAGCTGGTGGGGTTGGTGCGGTTGAACTTTGAGGCCGTTGGTACTGCAGAGGGGACCAGTGTTGTACTTAGCTCTTTGATGGCCAGAAAACACTCTTGGAAGGACACTGAGGATGTTCAGGGCTCTTGCCAATACCGGGGGAGATCGGGTCTGGACAGAGAAGAAGGTATCACAGAAAACCCAGGGCTCTCTCCTGGTGAAACCCCAGTTAGCTAAGAGAAAGAGATTGCTGTTCATGGTAGATGGATTTTATTCCCAGCTTCTCCACTGATTTACCCTCATTTTGCCAGTGACATAAGGAGGATTTGAATAAATAGCTCCAGCTAGACAGTTCTGGATGCCTTCTCCACTCAGGAACAGCTCTGGCCCGCCGGGCTCCCCGCTGCTAGCCAGCCCGTTTCCGAACTGCTCCGAGAGCGCACATATGCATCATCTCTAATAAATACAAAAGCGAGGCCAGGATAACTGTAATTTGTTAGCGAACAAAGCAGGTCGGAAGAGGAGGGGGAGAGGAGAGTCTCGAGCTAATTGGAACGGCACCAGATATGATAAAAACGCACATTGCGGCGTGTTTGCAGCATCGCACCAAATTATTTTAATATTTTAATCAACTTCGTAAATCAATCGGCGGGCCTCGGGAGAAGGCCCCCCGCCAACAAAGCGCACAATCTGCGCATCGAGCCCTAATTGAAAACACGGTCTCGAAGAAGAGCCGGCGCCATTGGCAGCCGGACCCCTCGCCGAGCGCCCGGGCCAGGCGCTGGCTCTCTGCCGGGGCTGGAGCAGCCCCAACGCCGCCCTCGCAGCCCGTGACGTGGGTCGGTGTCTGTGGAGCTCTTCCTTCAGCCCGAACGGTGGAGAAAGGGATCCGGCTCTCGCCAGGGACGGCAGAAAGTCGGTGCCGGGCTCCTTTCAGGGCAGACACACAAACATCCCCCGGGCTCCCCGCCTAGGAACTGTGTTAGCCCGTGAGCGGACCAAAGCAAACCCCGATTTTATTTCATACAGAGTGATTAAAAACCTGTTTGGGGGGGTGCTTGCTCTGGATCTGTGCAGCCAAACCATGCCTTAACTCATCGGAGCAGCCTCTGAGCGGGGACATGAGATCGACCCGGCCATTGATCTGTGCCACGGGAGCCCGCATCGGTTTTCTCCCCTGTCGAAGGCAACATTTAACGCTGACGGCACCTCATTAAGTTCGTACCAATTGTGTGAGCATCTTCATTTGGCAG